TAGGGAAAGCACCAGCCAGAGGGGCCCCAGTGACAGCCCCTTTCTGGATGATAGCCTCTTCCTGAGTGACAGCCCCAGCAGGTGACATCCGTTCCTGGATGACAGCCCCTTTTCAAGCTGCCTAAACTCCCATGTGGTCAAAGCTTGGTCACCTACCTTCTGAAACTTTCAAAATCTTTTGAACCCAGAATGGTGGTTGCTGTGCGTATCAGGGAATGTGAACAAATTTGGCCTCAATGAATAGTGGCAGTGCTCCAAACTGTTTCATCCCCCCTGCCTTTTGGATAACAAAATCCCTTTCATGTGTTCAGAGTCCATTAATCCCTTCTTCCCTTAAAAACAATCCATCCTACGAACACAGACACCAGTGAAAAAGATTTGGACAAAGGAAAAGGAAGTACAGTATTTGGCCAAAGAGCAAATGACTACAATCATGGTCTTTAGAATCAAGATCCCCAGAATTTTAGCTTGCCACCCACTGTGTGCCACCAGATACTTAACCTAAATATGCCTGTTCCTCGTTTGGAAAACAACTAACATGGATCTTAAAGTTTAGAGATTGTGCACATGAAGGACAAGACCACTGTGTCTGGTGTGAACTAATATCCCAAATTACCAGGGTCTTTATGTTATGATGCTAATGATGAACATAATAAACAAAAGTACATAGAATGTTTTCGCAGCCCCTTCCCCATTTCTGTTTTTAAAATGGAATTCGGAGATTAGAAGGAACTCAGATTACTTCACTGGTGGTTGAAGCTGTCATTTCTTGAGACCCCCCAACTGTTCAGGTCAGGACAGGGGGCCCTGAAGCACAGGAGTCTCTGCCCTGAAGAACAGGTGAGTGAAGCCAAGGGACACATTTCAGAGTCTTTAATGTGGACAAGGGTCCCCTTATGAGCACATATATGAACATGCATGTTGATGTATCTGTGTACCAGGATCTGAGTATGTTCACAGGACATGGTGATTAAATAGGACATCTGCAAATTATCAGCATTGTCCGTGATTACAGATGATAGTGAGTAGGCAGCATAGCATGGGGAAATGAAATTTGGCTTACCTGTGAAAAAGTAGTACTGATTGCAGTCATTTACATGCTCCCTTCACCATTTATGTTTAATTACCATGCTGTACAATTATAATCATGTATATCATTAGATACTCGCCCAGTAAACTTCCATGTAAGCTGTCTTGATTGGAACGACATCCATGCTCTTGGGCCCTCTACTCAGATACCATTTTAGTTTGAGCACAACTTGGTCACCTGTCCACAGACATGTTGATTTAAGCCTCTGTTATCAGGGACTGTCAGGAGGGATCTGACTCTCTACAGTTCCAGAATTCCCTACGAGGTGGCATTGACAGTCACTAGTTTGAGGAAACCGTTCTTTTTTTTTTTTTTTCTTGGGCTTTTTGAGACAGGGTTTCCCAGTAGTCCCAGCTGGCCTGAAACTCACTATATAGACCAGGATGACTCACTAAGATCTGCCTGCCTCTGCCTCCCAAGTGCTGGGATTAAAGGCATGTGCCACCACACCTGGCTGAAACGGTTCTTTTAACCAACCCGTATCCCTGTGCCAGGGAGTGGGGAGTGGGGGGATCTGACTTTCTCCCTCTTCTTCCTCTCCTACCCCAGCAGTTGTTCAAAGGGTCCCTGGAGTTCACCTCTCACCACAGCTGAAGGGGCACACACAGCTAAGGGGACAGACACACAAATTCACACACATTAGATAGCAACAGAGACACAAAAATGGAATGAAAGAAATACACAGAACAAGAGACTAGGAGAGTCAGTGTTGCAAGAGAGCTGGGCAGGGACAAGGGCACAAGTGCATAGTCAGTGACAGGTGGGAAAAGCCGAGTAGGTACGGAGACGTGGGGTGATTTTAATGAAAATAGCAAATTCAGAGGCCTTCACAGGAGTGGTGGTATTGTCTGATAGTTCATGAAATGAAAGAGTTCCCACAAGCAACTCAGTGAAGGCTTTCTTGCTGCTGTGCATAGAGAGGAAAAAGGAAGAACAGGTTGACAAAAAAAATAAAGTGTTGGGGAGTGGAGGAGTAGAGAAAGAAAGTAACAGAGAAAGATGACAGGATCAGGAGAGGAGGACCTTGAGCAGGTCCGGGTGTCTGTTGGATCCTTGGTCAGTACCCAGCTGGTTAAATGCTAGGGAGACAGAAAAGATGGGATACATTCATGGTCTCTTTTTTATTTTTATTTTTTATTATTTTTTTTTTAATTTTAGGGGCAGAGGCAGGGGCAGGGGGCAGAGGGGCAGAGGGGCAAAGGGGCCGAGGCAGAATCAGAGGGAGAGGCAGAGGCAGGTAGATCACCATGCGATGGAGTCCAGCCTGGTCTACAAGGTAAGTTCCAGGCCTGTTGGGGCGATGGGGAGACCCAGTTTACTACAAGCTTTGCAAGATCTTGTCCCACTACAACCAATTAAACAACCTCGGTCCTTGTCTTCCATTCTAACCTACAGAGCTGGGCTCTGGGGACTCCCAGGTGCTGGCAGAGAAAAGAGGGAGACATGCTGTGTCCCTGATTCAATGACCACCAGTATATTGAACTCAGAAAGACTTGGGTTGGATAACTTCTCAAAGATTTAGACAAAGTCCAAGTTTCCTTCTCAGGAAAAATTCCCAGAAGCCGGAGACAGTGGACTAGAGGAGGGAAGGTCACCACTAAGATCTAGGTCCCAATGACCTTAGCTAATTACCAATGTCCTCAAAGTTCAGGCCAAACATCCAATCTCAACAGACAACTGTGTCCAGGCCAAGGAAAAGCAGAGGACAATTTGAGCTTGCAGAATGCTAGACAAGGGATAGGAGATACTTGACATCTGGGGTCCATTCCTATCCAGAACTGTCTCCACCATTATTTGACAGTTGTGCTGGCATTTAAAAATGATCAGGTGGGAATAGGGGAGGAAACGAACTTGTCAAGTTGATGTATGCACAGAATCCTGAAGGATAGGTCTCAGCAATGAATGTTAATTCCTAGTTGTCAGACTACCAAGGCCTGAGAGGGAGAATAAAAAGGAAGGGTGTGACTGTGTCACTGGATATTGCTGATACTACTGACAACCCAAGATGTAATCCCCAAACAATGCCCTATAGAAACAGCGACTACATTGAGTACTCAGGTCTAGTAATCTAGTATGGCAATTATGGGCTGGAAGTCAGGTCTCCTCGATGGCAAGGCCAGCTCTGCCTCCACCTTGCTCAGACCTGTTGTGAAGGATACTCCCGAAGCCTCCTATATTCCATCCCATCTTGCCTGTTTAGTCCCGCTTGGGACAAAGCTGTTGGGCAACCAGAATGCTGTCCACTCACTGGTAGGCCCGGCATTCTCCAGTTTCCAGTGGATCAGCTCTGCCTCTACCTGCTTGCCCCAGCCCAGTGGAACTGTGAGCTGTATATCTGACTTCTGGCTCTTGGTCTCCCAGACCCAAGACCACACAACACTCTCAGTGGCACTCTCAGGGGGTCACCCCCTCCTCCAGGTTCCACCGGAGGCAACCCCGCTCAGACAGTACAAAGTGAACAGCTCCTTCTGAGGGCCTGTGGGTGGCTCTGAAAAGAGCCTTTTGTTGGTGGTCTAAGAACTCGGGATGACTCAAGCGCGCTCCCCGCGGATGCGGCGGGCCAGCTGGATGTCCTTGGGCATGATGGTGACACGCTTGGCGTGGATGGCGCACAGGTTGGTGTCCTCGAAGAGCCCCACCAGGTAGGCCTCGCTGGCCTCCTGCAGCGCCATCACCGCCGAGCTCTGGAAGCGCAGGTCCGTCTTGAAGTCCTGCGCGATCTCGCGCACCAGGCGCTGGAACGGCAGCTTGCGGATCAGCAGCTCGGTGGACTTCTGGTAGCGCCGGATCTCGCGCAGCGCCACGGTGCCGGGCCGGTAGCGGTGCGGCTTCTTCACGCCGCCAGTGGCCGGTGCGCTCTTGCGGGCCGCCTTGGTGGCCAGCTGCTTCCGCGGGGCCTTGCCACCGGTGGACTTACGGGCCGTCTGCTTCGTGCGGGCCATGGCCGAAGGAACCGTGCGCGAGACAACAGAGGAGACGCTGCCCAGAGAGCGCCAACGCAGCCGTCTTTATACGTACCGGCTTCCCAACGGGGCGGAGAAACCCACTCGAAAGTCCCGCGCTGCCCGGCCATTGGCTGTGACGTCACCCACACCGGCGCCTCCGATTGGCTCGGGCCGGCCCCCTACCCCACCCCGCTGCGCTCCACCCCGCCAGCAGTTGGCCTGGCCCTGGTCCCACTTTCCGCGCGCTTGCAAGTCATCTTGGATGGCTGCCCACGCCCTCCTCGTCTTCCTACCGCGGGGCTCCGCCCAAGACGCTCCCGGACCTGCGCCCAGCGCATCTAGAAACGAAACCCAGGTCTGGGCAGGCAGGGCAGACGGCTCTGAGTTAGAGGCCAGCCTGGTCTGCATACTGAGCTCCGCGGTCAGCCCGGGCTCAGCCGGGAGACCTTGTGTCCAAAAGAGAACCTGGGGGCCGGGCGCGGTGACGTCAGCACGCCCTTGATCCCAGCAATCAGGAAGCAGAGGCAGGCGGGTCTGTGAGATGGGGGCCAGCCTGGTCCACATAGTGAGCTCCAGGACAGCTGTGGGTACAGGGAGACCATCTAAGAAATCCACAACACTAGACCAGTGAGGCCAGGACCCAGACCTTCCGCAGCCCGTAACTTTCACGGGGCGGCCGTGGTCACCACGTCGCGTAGACCTCATTTAACGCTGGGGCGCGAAGCTTAAGAAGGGAGGTAGAGCAGGTAACTATCCCCGAACTCCAGAACACCTGGGGACAGCGCGGGCCCAGGTGCATGCAGCCGAGTGTCGACTTGGAAAGGGCCTGCGGACACACTGGCCAGGACCAACCGCCCACTGACGAGCCGGGGGCTCAAGACCAGAAGGGAGGGCAGGGCAATCGGGGACTTGGGGAGCAGCGAGTACGGCGGCTGCCACCGAAAGCCAGCAGAACGGCTAATGTCTAATGTCACAACTCTTTAATCTGAAACAGTGGGTGGCTCTGAAAAGAGCCTTTGGTTTTGCGGGGTTCCGTTCTTCGAGTTGCGGTTGGGGCGGGGGAGGGGAGCACGGGAGCCTCACTTGCCCTTTGCCTTGTGGTGGCTCTCGGTCTTCTTGGGCAGCAGCACAGCCTGGATGTTGGGCAGGACGCCGCCCTGGGCGATGGTCACTTTGCCCAGCAGCTTGTTGAGTTCCTCATCATTGCGGATGGCCAGCTGCAGGTGGCGCGGGATGATGCGAGTCTTCTTGTTGTCGCGGGCCGCGTTGCCCGCCAGCTCCAGGATCTCGGCCGTCAGGTACTCCAGCACGGCCGCCAGGTAGACCGGGGCGCCGGCGCCCACCCGCTCCGAGTAGTTGCCCTTGCGCAGCAGCCGGTGCACGCGGCCCACGGGGAACTGCAGGCCGGTGCGGGACGAGAAGCTGGAACCTGCAATCAGCTTTCTATTATTGTTGGT